ACTTTTCTCCCTTTCTCACAATACAAGAAACTAGAGGGCACTCAAGGAAATTGCTGAGCGGTCGGGTTAGAACGGATAAAAGGAAGTACTTCTTCACCCAGAGAGTGATTAACACATGGAATTCACTGCCACAGGAGGTGGTGGCGGCTACAAGCATGGACGGTTTCAAGAGGGAATTAGATAAGCATATGGAGCAGAGGTCCATCAGTGGCTTATTAGCCACAAGGTATAGATAGGGGCTCTGGGGCAAGTGATGCTCTGTCTTCTTGGTGCTTGGGCGGGGTCAACAGTGGGAGGGCTTCTAATGTCCTGGCCCCACTGGTGGACCTCCTGATGGCACTGGTATTTCTGGCCACTGTGTGACACAGAGTGTTGGACAGGATGGGCCTTTGGCCTGATCCAACATTGGCGTCTCTTAGGTTCTTATGAGCCTCCCCTTGATCGGGCTGAGGATCCACCTAGCATTCTTGATTCCAGCAATGGACAGCCACACGTTTTGGGGAAATGCATGAGCTGGTCCTCCAGTCAACAGGCCTCCTTTGCCAGTTTGGTGTAGTGGTTAAGAGCGGCGGACTCTATTCTGGGAGAACCGGGTTTGATTGCCCACTCCTCCACATGCAGCTGCTGGAGTGACCTTGGGTCAGTTACAAGTTGTTTCAGAGCTGTTCGCTCACGAGTTCTCAAAAGAGCCCTCTCAGCCCCACCTACCTCACAGGGTGTCTGTTGTAGGGAGGGGACGGGAAGAAGAAGACAACAACGATGATGAAGGCGAAGACAAAGAACACAAAGAGGAGGAGGAGGAGATTGGATTTATACCCTGTCCTGCACTCGGAGTCTCAAAGCGGCTTTCAACCTCCTTTCCCTTCCCCTCCCCACAACAGACACCTTGTGATGTAGGTGGGGCTGAGAGAGCTCATTTGAGGACTACTCTTGATAGAACAGCTCCAAGAGAACTTGTGACTGACCCAAGGTGACTCCAGCAGCTGCATGCGGAGGGGTGGGGAATCAAACCCGGTTCTCCCAGATTAGCGTCCGCGCTCCTAACCACCATCCCAAACTGGAGTCTCAGAGCGGTT